AATCATCTTGGAGGGAATTTAAAATCACAAATGGTTATATCAGTTGTCTTGATGGACAAATATTTTATGATAATGTTATATATTTGGACAAAAACTTTGTGGCTCTAACACAACCAGTATTACAGTTGTAGGAAACTGAAAAAAAAAAAGTCTTTATTACGTAGTATTTTTTAGCCATTTTCAGAAGTGTTCACTAAAATGTGTGTAAAAGATCAGACCAATTACCGACCGATCCATATCCAAGTAAAGCCTGTACAGGTTTTATTTTTGTCATGCTTTTTAAGTTGACCATTTCAGTTTGAAAGTATAAAAAAAATTTTCAAATTGGTTTGTTTTGTGTTTCGGTGGCTGCCATTTTCATCTTGTCACGTTAATAATGGTAAACGTTTTAGAGCAGTGTTTGTTTCTCCATAGGGAGGGATGTGGAATGGGAGACGTGTGGGATGTGGAGGATCCTGTTAATCGGAATCAAGAAATGGTGTGTCAGCGGCTTTTGAGAAAACCTTTGCCTTTCAAGCAGGTTTTTCGCAACAACGAATACGCTGTTTTGAAGCTCTAGGTGCTGCCTTTTGTGTGTGTGTGTGTGACGTTTGGAATGTCGAAACAGAAGTAACTTTTTTGATACGCAGAGCCAACTTACAAGTTGCTGATTTAATAGTGTTATAAAAATAAATTTGGCAATGCAAGGTTACACAACCTCAAAGAGAACTTTGTATTTTTTTTTGCTCTTTGTTACTAATATATATGTTGAATTTCTTGTTTGCAAAATAAGGTACTTACTTTTTCAGTCTGTTGCTTTGAATGTGAATATCTGTCGAGCAAGTGCGTTTTCTTTACTGGCGGGAAATGAAGTTAATTATATATTATAACAAAGAAATTAGCAATTAGTATGTATCTTAGTTTACATGAACACGTTTAACACCCACACTGCCAAAGGTTTGAAGATTTACTTTGATTTAATTTCTTAAACACGTAAAAACATTAATGAAACCAAAGATTTTTTTTTCTCCTCGAAATAATTTATTACATTTCAGAATATAGTTTAAACATTGTTTAAAATTCTCACTAGATGGCGATAACTGTTTTATTATTTTCTTCAAAATTTATTTTGATAGTAAGTGGAGTACTGATGGATTTATTTTTTTATGTAAATACAAATGAAATCTTTCTTGACATTATATTTGAAGCATACAGAGAGGCATTGTGTATTTTGATATATATAATGGTGTTCAAAAGTTAAAATATACACAAGTCTTATTTAAGGACTGTCGAATGTTTAATATGATACTCCACAAAAGAAAAATTTATGGAACGCGTTTACATTTGACCTTTTTAACTACAGCCAATATTTTTGTTGATTATCAAGTCTATAATGTGTGATAAAGGACCACAAATCAGTGTTAAAAGGTTATTGTTGATATTTGTGTGAAGAGCGTGTAATGTAGACCACTCCTTATTGTACTCATTATCATATTTGTTAATATTTCTACATGTTACAACTAATTGGTACAATAAAAAATCAATATATTAACTGTCACATTGTTTTCTGTGTGTGTGTGTGTGTTGCATAAAGATGAATTGTATTTTCGTTCTCAAAGTATAGTAATAAAATATATATGAAGTTCAACATGAATTTTGTTGTTGTTGTTGTTTTTTCACTCTCACATTACAGTTCAACTAACCGCGACCTGCAAAATATTTTCGGTAGTTTTCATGCCCTTCGCTTCAATTTCCCTTATTCTATCATTTTCACTCACATCATTAAGCTACGCTTTCTTGCAGCCATTATGTTGTAGATTGATCAATCATGGTCTATTTGAAAAACATCTTACGCGGTCAAACAAACAAACTCACGTAGACGTAACTTTATTCAATAAAACCACACGTAAAGTAAACAATATAGTAATGGTACAGAGTATGAAAGGGTTATTAGCGTTCAGTGTATGATACTTTGTGTTGAAACGAAGAATAAAACCTGTAGTAAAGAAAATAGTAACTAAAATGTGTTTATAGCAGTCTATGAAATGAAACGAAGCTAAGTTATTGGAAAGTAAATGTAAAGTTGTGATGATGGCAAACTTAGCTGTTAATGCAGAAACGTCCGAATGCGTTTTCACGAAGTCATAAGCATACGGTTTTGAACGAACTGCGCATGCGTAATTTAGATCCAAATAAGTCGAGAAAGCCCATCTTTATCTAGTGTAATGTTAATATTTTTAAGAAATTACACACGAATTAAGTGTTGTTTGTGTGAAATACTTTACAAATAAAAAAACTAAAGTTGAGATCGAAACCAGTCGTCACGTGATGACAACGACGTTGTGCCATCGTGTACCATACTCGTTGCATTAAAAAGTTCGATTAAGCAAAAAACAGGTAATGCGATTCTGTGTGGAAAATCCAATATGCAATCTGGTCTCTTCGGCCTTTCTAACGGTACGAGATTTCTAGCGTTTGATCGATAAATTTGCAAGAATAGTTCTGGACAGACAAAAGCAAGTGTATTATTTATATAGATATGACAATAACGTGTTACAACAATTAAAGAACATAAATTATGCACATTAAATATAGGTTCAGAAAATATTTAACATGATTACTTACTTGCTGTATTACGATTGGTTTAGAATGAATGACGTGAGGTAAGTGGCATTAATCTTTGTAGCACTTATAGGGCAAATTAATTTTTCTAAAATTCTGAAGTTTTTTTTTGGAGGGTGGGTGATAATTTTTGTAACTGAAATTATTACTTTATTATTATACACTTTTAATCCTTATGAAACTCTTTAGCAATACCCAAGACCCCCTTTTTTTCGTGTTCCACTCTTACATAACTGATAATACAAGAATTATTTTTTACTAAAAAATGTAATTTTTTACACTAATTGATGGTTTCCGTATTTTAAAGGCAGAGATTTTGTAAACAATTTCGTGGAAGTTTTATACACCTTGAAGTACGAGTCAACAATTTCACGTATGAAAACAGCGATCCTGGTGTTGAAAAAAAGTTCAGAATTCCATCGAATGCAAATATAAAACAAGCATTTTGAATTATTTCAGCATACATAAGGCAACTAGAAACTGATATGTCAAATTTATGAATATTTTAAAAAATTCTTGCACTATATATATATCTAGATAAGAATGTGTTTTAAAAAAATCATAAGTAAACAAATCTGAATAAAAAAATATTTAAAGTTTTCCGCTTATAGCTTTAATATTCTTATATGCTGAGTTTAACTTGCATTATCCAAATTTGCATAGTCTCACAGGGTCTCTGTTGGAAGGAATCTCAGAACGACATGACTTAACACTATGCCGACGAAACGTTTTCTTTAACAACGAGTTCTTAATATTTGAATAAGGAAGTCATAAAAGTCAAGAATATTAACATAATTTATGATAAAAACGGTCCATTTTTAGAGTTACTGAAAATATAATACAACACACATATTGCCTCTATTATATAAAAAAAAAGTGACGTATCTACCAACTGTAATATCATAGACTAACGTAAAGTGTCTGTCAGTTCCTGTAGCTCCCAGGCAATAGGGTCAATCTTGCTGGTAAATAAATGTATTTTCTTGCAGGAAAACTGCAACTTCACCCATGATGTTCCAAAATAGGCAGCTATCTTTCCTATCGGGAAATAGCCATCCTTTTTAGAGTGGTTGGGGGTTACGTGATCTTTGAGCAGCCTCCTTTATTGATCAGATTTGTACATAGCATATAGCTCATTTTAAATGATTTGGGATTATTGCCAAACCTTATTTTGTTTAAAGAAGTAGGTTTTGCTTTTCACTTAGTTTGTCTTGTAATGTAAAGGATCATCCTTTTTTCTTTTTGTTTTATTTTTCAGAATGGACTCATGCTAAACTGGTGAGAAAGCAACAATAAAAACAATTTCCTTTTCTCCCTCTTTCAATTCCACAAACACAATTTAAACTTTTTCCTGTGTTTTATTTTAACTTGTCGTTGTGTTTGAATCAACATTTTAATTTCTGTGTTTTTGTGTATTGTCTCTTTCTTTGCGTGGGTTTCAGTAAGAGCCAGGAAACGATAAGCTCAAACTTCGTAGTATAGTATTCCTGTTTTTTTGCGGGCCTTGCCAGTTTACTCTGGAGAAAATTAGTTTATCTGAAGATACCACAAGATGTAAACTTTGTTTACACAAAGCATAAGTATATATGTTTTCAGAAAATCTAAAATGTTTATACTAAGCCAGAAAGAAACGCCAATATACGTGTCTCTGTCCTCTCTCTCTCTCACTTTTCCCCAAGCGGCGAAAACGTCAGTTAAACGTCATTTTCTTGGGTTTTTAATTAGAGAAAGAAAGAAGGAAACTGAGAAATTTCCACAGACGTTGCTGGTGTGTGGTGGAAAAAGGATGGTGAAAATGAGATTACTGCGCTATAATGTATAAAATCTTTGAATAAGCTAAGTGTGCACTTATTAAGTTGAGTGAAAGAGTGTAAGTTGGCTTCTTAAGTTTTGATTTTGCTTGTTTTTTTAGTTGTATAACATAGAAGAAATGAGTGAGTTTTAAGGTAAGGTTAGACGTTTTGTTTTCGTGTTCGGTGCACTCGTCAGTGTCGACATAAACTTAACCAACCTGGCTCCTGTTGTTAACGTCGTACAAACGCAGTTAAAAACGTTTAGGCTTAAGAATTAACTGTAGCAGATTGCCAATCGTAACATCGTGGACGTTCTCGATGCTTTTTACAAGAGACTGACTTTAAGATGTATGTTACGCCACAGTCCATGTCCTAATTTTTTTTATATTAAATTTCAGACGATACGGCTGTTGCATTGGTATAAACCTGTTTCCGTTGTGCCCTGTAATTTGTAAATTTAGTGTACATCATAGTAAACGAGTAATTATAAAACTAGACTATGCTATTGTTAGGTACCACCTTATACTACTAAATTAATAATTACCCTCATATTGAAATTTCTGTGTAAAAAAATAAATAATTGAGGGACTCCCTTAATTTCGATCTATCAAAGGTTTTATGCAGAACTTTGTGAAAAACTGAAGTTTGTCGTTTGAAATTGGAAGTTGATACTGAGTTTTTGGTAGGCGTAGACCACCTGGTTTTCATTGGATGTGACCACGAGTGTTACTTAGGACAATCAGGTTATATACTAAAAAAAAATAGAACCTAACCCTTTTCTTAGAAGCTTCAGTCATTAACTTTGAAGACTACTGTCATCATGGGAATTCTGTTGGCCAAGTTGTGGAGTTTATTTGGGAACGAAGGTGAGTATGGCTTTATCATGTCAAACTTGTAAATATGATAATACAGTCGAAAATTTCATTATATACATAGCATAACATTTTTAATGAATGATTATATTATCTGTAGTCACAGTTTAGGTCATTTGGCAGAGATGTCGATTACAATTTTGCTTGTGCACGGTTGTTTGACCGTTATTTTCAAATATTGGTGCTGAAGTAACATCAGTATGTTACAGAAAATTTTTATGGTTGATATTTATAAAATTAGGAATGACCTCATTCCAGAAAAGTAGTTAACTTAATGTGCATGACCCAAAATAGGGCTATAACGTTTGTAAAAATACTCTGTTTTGTAGAAACTTTACATAAACATTCTTGTAACATACACATTTCTTAAATGTTGTTGTTTTTACCTTGTGTAGTTTCATTGATTTAATGGATTGTACTTTATGTGTGTGTGTGTGTGTGAGAGAGAGAGAGAGAAATACATGTCTTTACACAGCTTTCTATCTAAAAATATTAATGTTTCACCTATGACAAACACTGATGACTTATAAAGTTAGAATACTTTTTGTATAGGTGCAAGAAAGATGCACGTTATCACCACTGGCTCATGCTGTATATTACTGATGCTATCTTACATCTTCACACCCAAAAAAATCACTCGTGTTCTAGACTAACAAACAGACATTTTCATAGTATATATATATATATATATATATATGTTTGCATACTCCAGAAAAAAGCAATCAAAAACTTGTAGTGTAAGTTTCTTAAGTTGGGCATCGTTCCAGAAGATTGTCTCACCATTCTTTTCAACATGCCTATATCCTTCTTGTGATAAAGGAACCAAAACTGTACATGCTATTCTTACGATAACCAAGCTGCTTATAAACTCCCAATAATTGTTCTAAGAACTTTTTCTCATTTCTTTTACATTCACAAAGGTTTTCAAAGTTCATTTGAATAACAGAAACATTCTTGTTAGAACAGGTTTTTCAGCATTTCAGTGAAACCAACAAAAAAGTATTTGAAACATTATTGTCTGAGATGCCAGTATCTTTCAGAAATAAACGTTTGACATTGTTAATTGTTAACCTGTATCAGTTAAACTGTAGAAAATGTCTTGGAGTCCTTTGTAAAATTACTTGTATACTTGCTACACATACGGTAATTAGTTTTTAAATGTTTATTTAAGTTCTTTTTTTTTCTAAAGATATCCTAAGTACTTTAAGGTTTTTGTATCACCACAAAAAGCAGTCTTAGTTTTGTTTTCATGTAAATAGTTCTTGATTGTTTTAAAATTGTAAGACACAAAATTATATTTAAATAATAAGTTATTGTCATATAGGGTATCTAAAAAAAGAAATTTGGAATTCACTTAGTTGACATATTTAAAATTATCTACCTACCAGTAGGTGGCTGAATGAAAATACAAACTTGATTATTGATAATAAATTATTAGTTTAATACGTGTATTTAGGACTAATCTAAATCTCCTAATCTGGTCAAAACCTCGTGAGATATTATTGGGATTATGGTCAAAACCTTGTGAGATATTATTGGGATTACGATCAAAACCTTGTGAGATGTTATTGGGATTACGGTCAAAACCTCGTGAGATATTATTGGGATTATGGTCAAAACCTTGTGAGATATTATTGGGATTATGATCAAAACCTCGTGAAATATTATTGAGGTTTTGACCGTAATCCCAATAATATCTCACAAGGTTTTGACCATAATCCCAATAATATTTCACGAGGTTTTGACCGTAATCCCGTGAGATATTATTGGGATTACGGTCAAAACCTCGTGAAATATTATTGGGATTATGGTCAAAACCTCTTGAGATATTATTGGGATCATGGTCAAAACCTTGTGAGATATTATTGGGATTATGGTCAAAACCTTGTGAGATATTATTGGGATTACGGTCAAAACCTCGTGAAATATTATTGGGATCATGGTCAAAACCTCTTGAGATATTATTGGGATTACGGTCAAAACCTCGTGAAATATTATTGGGATTACGATCAAAACCTCATGAGATATTATTGGGATTATGGTCAAAGGTATCATTAACAGCAAGGGTGCCCAACTGATGGATCAATGCATTCTTTCCTTTATAAGTCAGAACATATGAAGGTTCATTTAATTTAATTAGCTATCCTGATTACCAGGTTTATATGTAGTTTAACTCCAAGTAAACAGGATGTGATTAGAAGCTGTTCTTGTAGTTTAATAATATCTCAGCCTCTACCATGTCTGTCATATTTCAGGTAGTCTAATGAGCCCTGATATTAGGCAAAAGGCCTCATCAGCACTGGATGTAACAGATGTAGTTTGGTTGACATACTGTTCTTCTTTACTTTTACTCCAATTCTGAGAATATACATTTTTCTATTTTCAAATTATTTATAAGAGTAATTTTATACTTTATTGGAACAGTAACTTCTCCCAGTTGAGCACGAGTCTAAGAAAATTGCCTCGTTACTCAGGTGGGTAGTTATTTGGGAACCCCTGGTCCACATTTGGACTTTAGCATACTAATTATTATGTTGATTGTGAACCTGTAAAGTTGTTTACTTGATGCTGTGGTGTTTTGTTAGTTTACAGTTGTATAAAAATGTTTGGTTTTTTTATCCTTTGGTGAATAAGTTGATTGAGCTGAATGCCAGCGATTCACCTGCATCTTTGTTTTAATTTCACCCAGGAGGTAGAAGTTGCAGAAGTTTTCTTTGACTCTGATCTTATATTGTTGCTTGGATAATGTCACAAAACAAGTTGAAGTTCAGAATTATTTTTATAATTAAAAGGGGTGTGTCATTCTGGGGCTATGGAGCAAATATTGAGTTACCTTTATGTTATTATGTTTGTTTGTAAACATGATGGTAGTTATTGAATAGTGACCACACATTTTTTAAACTTAAATTGCTTTTTTAGTCAGAACAAAATTTGCCAATATTACAGTATTATACTTAAGAGGAACTCTACTACAATGTTGCCAAAATAATTCATTTCGAAGAGTACCAGATATGTACCAACAGAAAACCACAAATAGTCTTATTTTGCTGTAACCAAAGATAATTGGTGAATTTATTTCTTCTTGTTGTTATTTGTATTGCTGTTATTGAAAAATTAGTGCTAAACTAAGTGTTGAAGAATCAAATTTCTAAATAAAGAAACGACAAAGCGATCAATACAAATTATTTCAATGTTTTACTGTGAACGATCTGAAAGTAACTTAAAAATTACTCTACATGACATTACGATTAAGAAACATTAAACGAGAACTATTTCTAGTGTTTAAAAGAATTGGTCAAAATTTTTATTGTGCTAGATTTTCCAGATAAAAATTATTTTATATTGCGCTGTTTGTATGCAAGCAAAGATTTTTTTAAAGGTTTCCTAACACAAGACGTACTTGACCCCTCTCCTGGTTTATCCCACAAAAAGCGACGTATACTAGTGCTTTAGTCACATGGATCATAAAAGGATTAATATCATTGTGCAAGTGATGGTAAAACCATTTGGTGATGGGTGATGATATATATATGTATATGTTTTAAGACTAACTTCTCATTTTACAGAAATGCCTCTTCTTGCTGTTAGCCTACATAGTTTCCGTTATTTAAAAAAAAAATAGAAAGCTTGTACATTTACGAGTTGAAGAAACGAAGTACTAAGTTGTGGGTTTCCAAGTTCTAACTCGTATATTTTAACACGTTTGTTAGAAAGTAATAAATTTATAACATGAACGGGCAGTAATTTGAGCGATAAGAACAAAATTATTACAGGCAGATTATTCAGTGTGAAACAACTGAAATTAAAGCTGATGCGATTAAAACACAAAATTCTAGCTTTGTGTATGTTAGAATTAGCACTTGTATTTAATAAACATAATATGTAGGATTTGTAATTATTAAGAACTTTTGATCAGAATTATGAGTTAATTATAGTTACAAAGCTAGCTGTGGAACAAACTGACTGAGAATACGCCATAAATCTGTGTATCAGAAAATATTGTTTTGCGTTAAGCCTAATAATGAATGAGGTCGAGATTTACGTTAATCCTAAATTCATAAACTAATCTGACAATGCGAAATAATTACGTAAATGTAAAAATTAATTCAGAAAAACTTAAGTTTGGTAATCAGGAAGATTTAGTAAAAGTAATAAGAATATAAAATTTTTTTTTCACTTGTTGATTTTGTAATTTAACATAAATCTTCAGGGCAGTGCCCTACAGCTAATTTTTATCCACGTAGTTAAGTGTTGTTCACATCTTTCATTTATTTTTAAGATTTTTTTTATAAACCCATCTTCAGGTTTTTTGTTTGCTTTCTTATTTTATATGTATGTAAAACAATTTTCATTTCAATTTCATATTTTACAACTTGGAGATGACTTATTCAATATAGGCTGAGATATGAATATTATTTATGATTTATTTTATGTTGTCACGAGTTCGAATTCTGTTACCAAACATGCACACTCTTTCAGCCGTAGGGACTTTATAATATAACGGTCAATCCCGCTATTTGTTCGTAAATAGTAGACCAGGAGTTGGCGGTGTGCGGTGATAACTAGCTGCCCTCTGGTCTTTCACTGCTAAATTAGGGACGGCTAGCACAGATAGCGTTCGAGAAGCTTTGCGCAAAATTCAGCAAACAAACAAGGCTAATATTTCGACTCCTAAAATGTTTTTGAAACTTTATGGTAAGAAGCTATCGTATTAGGAAATAGAATTTCCAACCGAAGTTTTTATTTCTAATTTCGGTCGAAGCAAGTAAGGTTTGTTTTCTCTTTTTGGTCGAGGTTGGTTGGAGAACCCCGTTCCTTTTGTCTGCCTAAAGACTTCGTTCAACCAAACAGTTTATACTTCCGGTTTGACACAGAACATATGTGAATATCTTCATAGGCCAGGTTCAAACTGTCGCACGTAACGCTGTAAATGAACTGGTACACTGTTTATCACTAATACACATGTATTGAAACAGTAGTGTAAAAATATTTTTATAAATTCGTTTTTTAAACTTGCTTATCTTTATATAAACTAAATTATATGTCCAGCAATAATATATAAAAAATAATAATCACAGTTTTAAAAGTAGTAAACTCAGTATTAAATAAAATAAATTAACCTAGCGTTTTCGGGAGATTCTTAAATTATTAGGTGTCGCGAAAGTGTTTTCTTGTGGGAATTTAACATACATTCTGCACGAGGAGTGCATTGTTTTAAAAAAACTTTAAAAGTTTATATATTGTATTGACAGCTGACGTTTCGGGCTACCGTCCTTTTCGCACCTAAACTGTACTTATATATAATTAATTAAATTATTTTGACACTATATAAACCCTTCATGTTTTTCGAATTGCCGAAACGGTCGTTATCTACTATCAACTGTGAGTGCCTAGTTTTAATCCAGTGATTTTCTTTAGGCTTTTCAGAAATTTTGGAACACTGGTTGATATATGTATTGAAATGACGGATTTGTTGTGAAATTATTTATTTCTGAGGTTTATGATTAAGTGAGAGTTGGAAACATACCCGGGTTTTTTTCCTTTTCGACGAGGCCAAGACAAATTGGAAATAAATGTGAATTATTTCAAATCAAATTACAGAAAATCACTGTAAAGTAATTAAAGATTTTAAAATAACTTTCAGTATTGTTTGAAAACTGTACTACCAAGAAACACGATACTGTTGAGTGAAAAAACCTAACGTTCTGCTTTTTTAGCCGTTAGAATATTTATCAGAACAAAGATTCTAATTTAAAGGTGAGCTTTTTTTTAATGCTAAAATATATTTGAAATTCGGTCGCAAATAGTTTTATATACGGACAAAAATATTTATTTTATTAAGATAGCCAAACAGAAATTTCGTATTTTATATTTTGTAATTTCCAAACTCGGTAACAGTTCATCTTTCTACGTACGAGCGATGAAACGTTTATACAATTGTGACGCTACGCTGAGCAGAGAAACATTTGTCGGACGTTGCTGTACCTGTCACGAGCATGTTTAATATAACGTCATCACGAAAGTAGCTCACTTTTATCTGTCAGGAGGATAAAACCTGTTGTTTTTGGAACTCTTCGGGCATACGGATGTTATTTTGATTCAGTTTTTTTTTTAACTGACCGGTTAATTACCAACTGGTTTATGATTATTTTATTTTAAAATTTTCCTCTGTGACCTTGGTATACCCATTATTACAATAAAAATGCTAATTGTGATGATCGACGTGTCGCACCCTGTTTTGTTCCTTACGCGTGTTAATTCGATTTTCAAAAATATCTTTGCGTGCTTCTAGTTTAGCAATTAATTCATTATTTATATTATATTAATCTTTATATTAGTTAATTGTATATTAACTTTCATTATAAATAAGGTGACCATTCGTTTTTATTTTTGTGGTATGTGTGTGTGTGTGTGAGACTACTTTTCCCGTTATTTTGTTCCTGTAAATATGAAACTATTTGAAACACCTAATTGCCCCCTTTTTGATATATGTCACTCAAATTTCTAACTTCAAAAGAAATTGGCCACAGTTACACGTTAAACAAGTCCCAGCTGCAAAAGTACTGTTTATATATTATTTTCTATCGTCGTCCTTACCGTTTATATCTCATTTTCTATCGTCGTCCTTACCGACTTTACAACTTTCTGGAGTTTAGCAGCTGTTTTTGTGCTATTTTACCTTAATTTTTGTGGGGACAAATAGGACTGAGAAGCTTCGAGAACGAACATAAAGTGGCCACTTTGGCTATAATTGTTTAGGAGAATTAAAAACGAATGTCTTAACCACAACTTGTTGCATGTAATGTGCTAGTAGCCTAAGCCTAAGCTCTGTGACGTTATAAGTGAACTAACTTTGACAGAAGTTTAGTAACCTGTATGATGCTTAGAGGAAAACTACTGGAGCGATTTTTTGGTGATATGTATTTCTGACATTACTGTACATACAGACAGACTAGAGATCGTGCAAAACTTTATTAGCTGTTGGTGGGAGTACATTAATTTGTGTTTTCTCGTTAATTTTATTTTCAACAATATTTCTATGCTTGATTTTATGTTTGAAACATTTCCTTTTCTTCAGCAAGTGCAACATTACTTATGTTACACATTGTGCCTCTGTTGCACGTGCTAATGAAAATACAACTTCTCTAAGCATACATTTTTCAAGTGTTAAATTCATGCATGATAAGACCAAAGGACGTACATGATGTGCAAAGGATACAGGTATCACATACAGAGGACATACATGATGTGCAAAGGATATGGGTATCTCATACAGAGGACATACATGATGTGCAAAGGATA